TAAAATAAAAAATTTATATCTTTATGTTTGAAGCCTGAAATGTGGCAAAAGGTTGAAAAGTTCAAGGGGGCCGAATACTTTCGCAAGGCACTGTAACTAAATCTGTGTTTTAATGGTAGTCCTCTGAAAAAAAAATACTTATGGACAGTTAAACCCAAAGAATCACACAAATACTTATGTTTTAAATATAGTATATGAGGTCTTTTTAAAGTGTTAAAACAATGGACAATGCTACAAAAACTTGTTTAGCCAATACAGAAGCAGAAATGTCATCGATTAAAGGATGTGAAACTTCAGTGCCTGCTTTTGCATCACAACGTTCTGTGTTTATGCAATTTTAAATCTCTGCAACTCTTTTTAGTTCACAGTAGCGTTTAGATAATATAGCATAAGAAGTGTTTTTTTTTGCATGATTCTATAGCTATTGAATAAAATATATTCAGTGGTAACAAGAAGTAAGCAGCAGACAGAATACAAAGAGACATTTCTTAATGTCTGCTGGTGCAAAAACATTATAATTACAATTAAACATATTTTTTAGGTCTGTGTCAGCATTGGAAGTTGAAAAAAGAGAAGCTAGTAACTATCTGGGTTGAAAGCACTGAGAGGCTTTTCTGTATTGTTAAAAAGTAACTTTTCAGTTGCCTATGTAATAAGCTAGACCTGTTTTTACTTCTCCTTGTTCACATAGGCGGAACTAAATGGAAATGAAGAAGGGAATCTAGTAGCAGTATTACAAGCAAAGATTGCTTCTCTTTCACTGGAACATCAGCAGGTGGAAAACATTTTAAAGGTAGGCTTATCAATAATTGCAAGGTTTTGCTTGGTAAATATTGCAATTTGATTTGTAAAGTGTTTACAGATGTACAAGTGTACAAGATCTTTTGTAGGCCAACAGTTTTTCACTGCATGCAGCAACTTTGATTCTGTTAAGGGAATGAAAATACAAATAGTGGCAATCTATTTTTTGCTCCTGGTTTGTCCACAGCATAGCACCATATGTTATCAAATGAGATTGGATGTTCACTCCGTATTATTTAAAAAAAGTATAAAATGGGGCTGTATTTTGGCTACAGGGCTTTCGTTGTTTAAGAGATTGGGTCCACACAATTAAAATGTTGAATACTTGATTCAGTTAATCATAGAACTGACTCAAAACTTTTCTAAAGTTTGAAATTATTTCATGCTCAGGTGTCATTCAAAAATGCCACAAACAATGCTACTGTAAAATAAAAAAATAAAAATACTTAAGCTTATTTATAATTATTTACATTTAAATCTGTTTATGTATTCATTACCATTTTAATGTTCAAGACATAACAGTCCTTTAAAAAATAAATTCTTCTAAAATCTCTTCTGTTTGGCTCTCCAAGAGGCCGACCCATCAGAGTGAGGAAGACAGTCAACACGGTGAACAGGAAGGCTCTCGTCCCAATAGCTTTGACTCGAATGCTTCATACCACTCCACTAAGGATGATTTTGACAAGTCTGTGGAAGCCCATGACATGCCAGCAAAAGAAGATGAAGAAACTGTTTCTGAAGAGCCTGCCTTAGGTTCTAGCTCTACTTCTGTAGAACAGGAAGATCCAGGGAAGTCAGTGAAAATGGAGAGTGAAGAAGAGATTAAAGTTCTTCGGGAGGCCTTGCAGCACCTCCAGTTTAAACTTAGTGAGTCTGAGCTGGAGAAAAAAACTCTACAGGCCAAACTGTTACCTGGCTCTGCAGATGTTCTCCAGCACAGTCCAGACGAAGTGTCTGAATATGTCTCTGAACTTAGGGACAAAATAAAAGAGACACAGAGCAAATACGAGGATGCAATGAAAGAAGTGTTAGCTCTTCGCGATGAAATGAAGTCAGAAGCAGTTGTTTCTGAAGAAGACAAAGCTGTTCCCAACATGCAAGAATTGAAAGAGCTATATGACAGTGAAATTAAACATCTGAAGGACAAACTTTCGAGAGCTTTGCAAGAGCAGGAAAGGGATGCCAACTTGATAAAGCAGTTGGAAAGCAACGTGGAGTCAATGGGTAATAGGTTATCGGCAGAAGAATGCGAAGAAATGAAAAATTCATACAGCATGCTCATAGAGAACATAAACCAAGAGAAGGCCCTGCTTCTTGAGAAATATAAAGAAGCACAAGAAGAAAATAAAATGTTACAGGATGCCCTGAGAGGTACAGTACCTGTGGAATCAGCTGCCAAAGATTTTGACGATATGAAAGCAGAAATGAGCCGGACTATTGATGGGCTGCAGAGACGTCTGCTTGAGCTATCACATTCATACAGTGAAGCAAAGAGTGAGCTGAGCATTGCTCGAAATAAACTCGCCACCTGTGAGAAGGAAACTGGGCTTAATGAACAGAAGCTTGAAGAATACGTGACAAAGGAGCACCATGATAATGTAATGTTGGATTTTACTCAAAAAATACAGAAGATGCAAGACAGTCTGGCAGAAACAGAGGCCAAGTACCGTGAAGCATTGAAAGAAAATACAGTACTTAAGGAAGAGGCTGAAAGTGAAAAGCAACATTCCGTGAGCCTCAGCGACCATACGCAAGTAGTTTCTTCTCTTGGAAATGCCATCAAAGAGTTAGAAGCCCAGGTGGACAAGCTAAAAGAGCAGCTTTCTCAGAAGGCACTTCAGATTGACGCATTACAAAAGCAGCTCTCTGAGAAGATCAGTCTACAAGAAGACTTGGTACCCAGAAGTACACATGAGGGGCTGAAGAATACCCTTGAGAGCGAGATAAAACAGCTAATGCTAGACCTACAGGAGGCCTTGAAGAAGCAGGAGGTGCTGAATAGAGAAGTTTCCCAAGCAAGGCAAGAAGTTAAGGAAGCCAGGAATGAAAAGCAGACCATTCAGGGAATAGTAGCATCTAAAGATGAAGAGTGTGATGAGCTGCGGACCAGGTGTAGGGAGGCCCAAGAACTAATTTTTGATTTGAAGAAACGTGTTGAGTGTCTCTCTAGCCTTGAACAAGACAAAGATAAAAAGGTAAATAGTTATTTTATATTTTATTGCCTAGGGCTAAGCCATGTAGAAAATGCAGTAAGATCCAACTGGAATCCTCTGATTTGAGATGCTTAGTCTTCTCTGTCATTCAGTCTTGCAGCAAAGTCTGTTGTTGTAGATATGTAGACTTAAATAGTCCAACAGTTCTTTTGCTAGTCTTGTAATATACTTTATCATGCTATTCTAGTGGCCCACAGACACGTACTTTCATCTACTTTCATTTAGCATTATTGAAAGACTTGCTGTTTTGCACAGATTGAGGAGTTGACTAAGGAAGTCGTCAAACTAAAGGATGCGTTGAACAGTCTCTCCCAGCTGTCCTACACAACAGGAACCCCAAAGAGACAGAACCAGCAGATGGAGTCTCTTCAACAACAAGTGAAGCAGCTGCAGTTCCAGCTTGCTGTAAGTGTTTTGAAATTTATAAGATGTTTGTTTTATCCATAATGTGAATCTTCTACTAATATTGGTGTTAGCAGCCCTGGTTGTGGAGAGCCAAAGTCTTTTAGGTGCTACAAGAAGCTTAAAATGATCAACGAGTAAATCCCCAGAAATTACCTTAGCTTTTGCTAAATAAGTAAATAAAGCAGTTATTGAAGTTTAATCCATCAGACAGCAGTGAGAATTGGTAACCAGAGGATAACTTGGGTGCAGAGCCCTCGATTACAATGTTCTGAAGATCAGGTTTACCACAGATGTTTCATTTTCTCCTTTGTAGCATTAGTGAGCAGACTGTTACATACAGTTGTGGAAAACATTGTTCTTGACGCAACAGAGCAACAGCATTGAGAGACCTTTCTTGTACTATTTTCGTAAGATCAAAGTGTCGGAAATCAAAACAAGGGCTCAGTGCATGATCTGTGCAATTTAATTTTTAGGTTAACCATGTTCTTTTTCAATGATTATTTTGAGAAGCATAGAAATTACTGTAACCAGAAAATGCTCAATGTCTTTGTTCTTTTAAGTGGGCTCTCATATCTGTTAATAGCATAGATGAATGATTCCCCCCTTTTAACGTGTTAAATTCAAATTATTTTTCTTTTCATTTACAGGAGTCTAAAAAGCAACACCAGGAGATTGTGTCTGTTTATAGGATGCACCTTCTGTATGCTGTCCAGGTTAGACTTAATTTTTACATTAATTTACACAGAGATGCATTCTCCATTCTCTTCTTCTACTGCCAGTGTTTGTGCCTAGGAATAGCCCTTTTGTAATGTCAAGTTCGGTCAGGTATTACAGAAGCTAAGGTCACCCCAAATGTTATTCAGTCCCTATCCTGCTTTTTGATTTGTTCCAGTCTGCCTTTTAAAACATGCATATGCTGATATACAAGCAACAGTGTGGTGCAGTGGTCAGGGTTAAATGTATGACACTGCTGTTGTACCTTTGAGCAAGGCACCTCACTCAGGTTTTTCCAGTAAAAACCCCTAGTATGTACTGTAAATGGTTAAAATTGTAAGTTGCGTTGGATAACTGCATTTTCCCATTAAAAAGTAACGATGAGTATTTTTTTAGATTATAGTGGTTGGTGTGTAGGAGATTTAATTAGTATTATGCTGTATGAAATCCGTGGCATCTTCATCAAGATATTGAGTTCCTATTCCAACTAAAACTATTCCAATAAAGAACTCTGGAGTCTTTATTTTATGTGCCGGACATTATTAGTTATTCAAGTACATGGAATTGAAAGCTCATGCGACAAAAAATGCTGCTGAAGGTGGTTACTTTTTTGTAATTATGACTGTTTTTCATGTCTGTTCACAGGGTCAGATGGATGAAGACGTCCAGAAGGCTCTGAAACAGATATTAATGATGTGCAAGCTGCCGGCAGAGACAAAGTGAGGCTGCTAAAACCAAACCAGGAGTTACACTAGACTCTGGGACTCATGAGACCATCCAACAGACAAGCACATCTTCTGTTTCTGAGTCAAGCGAGACCCTCACTGTGTGTTTTTAAATCCGTCCTCTATAAAGTGCAGCACGTTTGTGATGTGCATGTTAGAAACAGAAACCTGGGTATTACAGACAGACAGAACTCTAAACTTGTTAAGATTCTAAACTACTTAGACTTAAAGAGTCTAAACTACTATGAATTTCAATTCATTCTCTGACATACAAGTAGGTAAAAAGGTAAAATAAAACTACATCCCTTGCCCACGTTCTGATTCATAACACATACCAAAATATTTGACAGATGAAGCTCTTCTGAGGAAGCCCTTTAAGATCTAATTAGAATATTATATTTTCTTTGTGTAAAAGGAATTTGCAGTATTAATTGGTCAACTGTACAAATATCCTTTTTATCATTTAACAGATATTTTCGTTAGAAAATATTGTAATTTATTTTTGACATTTCAAGAGTGCTGTAATGGCTTCCATAAAAGCAAACAGGCACATTAAAAGGTTAAGGCTAAAATGAAGACCTGTCTCTATGAACCACATTTTTCTAAAGAAAGCAATATTTTCTGGAAATTAGCATGTTCTAAAGTTATTCTGCTTCTCTCGTGAATGCTAACAAGGAATTACCACAGTGATACTTTCAGACCGAAAGGTCTGTAATTGTTTTGTCATATTTTAATGCCATTCTCTACCTTGCGTTGTTGTCCCCCTTGAACAAAATAGCATGCTGTGAAAGTTATTTTTTATATTCTGATTTGTGATACCTTCAGTGTGTATCATGTTTTATAATGCCTTTTGAAACAACATGCAATAACAGAATTTTGACATTGATATTTGTGTAAAATCTGATGAATTAACTATTTATTATCGTGTACTTGAATAACTACCTACAAGCATATTGTACTCTTTGTAGAAAATGGTGACCTTATTGTACAACTTAATTGTAGAATTTCTTAAGATATTGATCAAGGCATACAGTATGAATTCTTGTTACAGCACTACACTGAGATGTTTTTCATTTATTGGATTTTTTTGTTCATACCTACAATATATGAACAGTATGTATTTGTCCACATACCATCATTCTTTAATTAATTGGCTTAAGGCACCAAATCCGAACTACAAAAATATCCTTTATTGATATTTTCTGTTACTGGGAGAACATTTGGGTGATTTTTTTTTTTAATTAACCATTAAAATGCATCATGACAGCATTGCTTGTCAAACATAAAGCTCTGAATTAAGATCTTTTTTCAGACAATGTTGCATGTTTATAGAGCCAAAATTTTATTTTTGATACATTTAATGATTTAGATAAGTGCTAAATATGTTGAAGAAGAAAATGGTATTTCTCCAAAAAATATTTTTCAACGTGTATTATCTTTGCACTTTTTTTCCCCGTTTCAAGTTTCATTTAAGGAACATAATAATATGTTTACATGCATACCTGCAGTCAAATTGGATGATGGGAAGACATATTGATGTCATATTGGCCTCAGATTTGATGATCCTGGAACAGCATTGCTAAATGCGTAAGGAATTTGTTTTTGTAAACTGCCACTGGGATTTCTTTTTCAAAAAAATATATAGCACTTAAGGCATTTGCTTTAGTTAATATTACAGTAGTCTATGTATTTGATACAGTATGTTTTGAAGCAGGAATTTTGTCATGCAGATTTTTGAACATTTCAGCACGTTTTTACTGTTTTTTTTATAATGCCAAAACTTGCTCCTGCATTTTTTTTTTCCCCGATAAGATATGACTGCTTCTTCTGATAGGAGGTACACAAAACTCTGAACGCTTAAATTTTCCAAATCAGTTTTCCTACAGGCTGTCATTCTGCAGAGTATCTCTGTCTGGAATTAATAATGCCATCTTAATAAAGCTTACAAAGGAAAGGTTTCCTTGCATAGCAAACCTTTTTTGCCTTAAATTTATGCATGCATTCCATTCTGAGATGTAGCGCAGAATGTTCTAGTGTGGCCGAGGTGCTTAAATGACTGGTCATGTGACTGCTGCCTCTGAAGACAGCAGAAGTGCTCACTGCTTTAAGTTTGTTTACAAGTGTTTGCCATGGACAAAATAGCTCTCCCACTTCGTGGTTATATAAAGTACAAGAACTAATGTACATTGTATTGGTATTTCAAAAGAAGGGATTGGTCCTTTTACTACTTCCTATTTTTATGGTATTGTAATAGAAACAAAATCTGATATTTTTGTCAAACGTCTTTCTTAACCTGCCAAGGATTTTCTGCTAAATAAAATTTGGTAAATTTGATTTTGTTTTTTTCTTTGGTATTGAATGTACTGCATATGGGTATTCTTTGGGAGATTTCTTAAATGAGGGAAAACCATTCAGGTTATCTAGATTGGATACAATCTCAAATGCATGTCCTTTTGGTTTCCTTTTGTGTTTCACTTTTGATTCTGACATAGTCCACTGATTGCACTTTACCAATATGTTTTGAGAATTTAGAAATGTTTGAATCAAGTCCACATGTTATCTTCTCACATCAAAAAAAGATCAGCGTCTTCTTTTAGTCTGTCACTGTAGGAAGTATTTTTAAGGACCGGTATAATTTTAAGTGCTGGCTAAAAATGTGTGGTATAAATAACATTAAAAAATAAATTATTCAGGTAACGGAGTCTAATGGATTGTTAGTGAGTTACACAAATGTAGTGCAACACAAGAGAAAGCTCTATTTTACTGTGTGGAGACTGAATAGTAAAAAGGTTTGAATCCACATATCACATGTTAAGTGTTGGAGTATATTCACACAGTAAGGCATTACAATAACCTGGAGCTTGACTGTTCATTGCTTTATGCATGAGGTACAGAACTTTAAGGGATTGTCTACAGTACATTTCAAAGGGAGCAAGTGCAATTTACAGAGTATTGGAGTTATGTGCTGATACAGATTAGTATTAATTAGCATCCATGTTGTAGAAATCTGTCCATGCTAAAGTCTATCAAGTCTCTTAGTAAGTGCACCAGTAAGAAAGGAATTATAGTAGTATATGGCTGATACAATAAATGCACACATCAATATTTATCTGTCAGATAAGAGTAAGGACTATAATCAAGCAATGTAATGCTGACATTCCTAACATGAACTTCAAATGGCAAAACTGAGTCAAAAGTAAAACCAAGATTTCTGTCAAAAGTTTAATTTCAGCACTATTGACAGCAGCACTGACTGCTTAATTGCTAAGCAATGTTGGTAACCTGTAAGCAGAATTTCAAACCTGTCAAAATGTTTGTTGTGAAACAAACCATTGAAGGGACAGTTGCCCTATCATGCATTACAATCAACACAGGAAAGAGTACTGAATTGAAATACCACAGCAATTCATAGGTGCAGGTTTAAGGTTTATATATATATTTTTTGTTTCTTGCAATTAGCTCTGAAGATGTCAAGAAATCCCTGTCTTGTTGCTGCATTTACAAATTTTGTACATAAGTTTACTATTCTTTCCCAGCACAGTTTTCTTTATAAAGCAGCATATACTGTGAAATATCAATGTCTTGTACTTGAACATTCTGAACGCTTTGGATGAGAATAATGGTTGGCCTTTAGCCTGATGTAACAAGCAATGGCTTTTTTCATATTCTGGAACACTGCAGCAAACAGAAATTAGACACACTTCCTGCTGTGTCCAAATTGAACTGGATAGGGCCATGTGAAACGCAGCTTTTCAGCCTTCAAATTGTTCATTTAATCTCGGTTTGATCTACGTAACTGTTGTCTGCTGTATCTAAGAAAAATTTCGACAAGCAAAATAACAGATGCCTCTTAACTTCTAGTATTCTGAAGCATTAATTATTTTTATTATATTCCTTCAGAAATACCCTTTAATTCCAACTAAATACTACCACCTGCATGTGTTTTGTTCCTGAATCTCATCTGTGTCCTCTTGCATAATTTCCTTCAGCCCATCTTTGCGCTCAAAACCCTATCAACGGCGATGCTTCTTCAATTTGAGAACCAGGTGAAAGTCATTTTGTAGCAGCAGGGAAGAAAAGGCAAAATAATCATGTTCTTTGAAGTGGTATGCTTTGACAGCAGAGTTTCTAGAGCATCCACATGTTCTAAAATCCTGAAGTAGAGAGTGATAGGCTTTGAAAGACTTTAAATGAAAGGAGTAATCTTAAAATGACATATTGTGCTGCATTTCATTTTGTTTTCCACTCTTAAAATGTGTAAAAGGAATTTAATAAGTATTAGTTTAAAGGAACTGAATCTCTGCAGTTACAAGCAAAAAAAAAAAAGTTCAAATTCCTTTAATGTTTTGACTAAAGTCAACCTAATGGTTTACTTGATTCTTTAAATTAAAACAAAAACATAAGAGCACAAATGAATTTGAAGAGGAAGTGTATTTGGAAATGATAACAGGAGGCTTTTTTCACACAAAGGGTGATGTGTGTGAAGCATGAAAGTGTGCCAGTCTCCTGGGAGCCATTTTCAGAAGATGCTGGTTGAGATTGTTGGATAAATAAGCTCCTGACTCCACACAGAAATAATGGCCTGACGATGGGCGAGTCATGATGGGTGACTCTTGTTATTGCTTTAATAGCAGTGAAGATCTTGTTTTTTTGAATGTAGAATGTCGGCCACAGATTAAATCTAAAATCCCTCAGAACTTGTTTACACTTGCGAAAATAATAATAGCAAGCAAAAGTAAGTCAACAAATGTTTCATTAGCAATGGTATAGAGTTCTCGGTCGTGTATCAGTTATTTCTACATTGAATTAGTTAAAATGTAATTAATAAGAGACTGCTCTCTATTGGTCCATTGCTCTCTGTTGTCCAGACATGAATGAAAAAACTGTTTTTTCTTTATTTTTTGAATCACCCAATAGCCAAGTGGTTTGTCTAAGTAGTACAAAGCATAAAATAGCAATCTAGAATAGCCTGACTGATTGATAACTTTTGGGTCCTGAATTTGACTAAGCCCTGAGACCCTTGTCTGTATGAAGTTTTTTCCAGGTGCTTGAGTCTCAGGATCTGTTGTCTATGCTAATCATGATCTCTAAATCATCCTTGATGTGTGTGTCCTGTAAAGGATACATCCAGAGTATAATTAATCCTGACCTTGTGTTAAGCTTTAACTCAATACAGTCTGGACTAAGTGGTTACTGAAGGTGGATGGATGAATTCTCTCACAATCTGATAAGATTTGGGGATGCTAAAATGTTTAATGATTTCACTTTTTTGTTGGTGTTATTACTAGGAAAGGGCCTCTTTTGTGTAATTTCTTCAGAAAAGCTATTTTTTTCTCTTTTCCCGTTAGCATGATGAATTCCCTAATGTAGCAGATGTTACTGGCATAAGGATCTCATATTCAGGTTAGCATAGAAGGTAGCCATCTATTATGTGAAAACATTAAATGAAAAAACGATTCACTCCAGACAATGGTATGCAAGTGCTTCAAGGCTCTAATAAATAAAGATCAATTAGTATGACAGGGCAAGCTCTGCCAAATCATAAGGAATTATGAGGATCTAATTACAACTGTATAATTCCCACCTGCTCTTTCTTTTAGACAGGTGGAAGTCATTAAAGCACAAAGGAAGTAAAATGGAGTCTGGAGCAATGACATAGAGTAACACAGTCAGTCCAAATATAATCAGCTTGAAAAACAGTTGCTCATGTCATTGGGGAATTTTTACCTTGTATTGAAAGTGATTAGATATACAGCTTAGGTTTGAGCAAAATATGCATCAGGTACAAGAGCTCTATAAGTTGAAGTAAAAGATATCTAAGTGAAATATATCTTAAAGGTGGAAAACCTCCCTGCGCGACCTGTAATGTATTGTTTGGCTAAGAATCCATCTCCGTGTTTCTCTGATTCAGCAGAGATGCCCATAATCTTGGCAAGGAGTTGTCCTCACAGAACAATAGCAGGTAATCAATATAACACTGAAAACACAGTAGGTATGCAGAACTGTATGCACAGTCTTTCCCGAGACCATTTACAGTACAGCTGTCTTGAAGCAAAAATCAGTTATTTTCAAGTTAAATTTATACTAATTTTTAAATTAAGTTAATTTATAATCTTTTATTCCATTGATTTAAAATCACTAAATTTTTTAAAACATTTGTCAGTAGACTTGGGTTCATAGAAGTCAAGGGTAACAGAAACTTGTGTATTTTTTCTAGAGTTGTGCTTGCCTTGCAAGAAAACATTTATTAGTGTTTAAAAATTAATGGAGAGGTCACTTAAATGTAAGCTTGTGAACTTTGACACTCTTACTTTTCAAGTGGTACTGTGTGTATTTTCTGTTCAATTCACACACATCAGTTATTTCAAGCCACACTGAATGGATTGTTGTTTTTGGAAACAGGGATATTTCAATCTATATTTCTGGAACACAAAATCATTGTTCCACGCTATTCAACCTGGAGGTACTATCTGCTTCAAACTTAAAAACACATTTCAGTAAACTCCAAAGAAAATTACAGTTAAAAAACCTGCATGGTTTTCCTGTTTCCATCAGTTGGAAACATCTCTACAACTCCCCTTACAAACAAATTCTGCTTATAAGACAGCATAATTGATGATCTTCAGCTATATGACTATTTGATCTGACTGCAGTAACTGAATCAATGACTGTTGATAAGTAACCAGCTTCTCTCCAGAGCCTCAGGATTTAAAATAAGAAATTCTCTTTGCAAATTTCAGAGGGAAAACACAAGAAAAACTTTTTGAAGTACAGTAAAATACACTATAAAATGATGAATATCATAGGCTTTCTCAATCCAAGTTGTCCTGCTAATGGCTGATATGTCAAGATGGCAACCCAGAATATGAGCAAAGATCACAAAAGTAGGCCAAGAAGTGTTGTCTTTCTATTCTCTCTGCATTTACTTTTTATCTATTCTAGACATTATCTTGTTCTGCAGTATTTCAGAATGGTTTTGAAAGATAAAGAACATTTCCATTTTGTCTTTAAACATATGTTAGCTAAAATCTCCTACTAAATGGACTGTCTAGATTTATTACAAAGGAATAAAAACAGATTTTGCCATAATAGAGGAGTCTCATTTGAAACAACTCATTTACTAATAAATATTACTACATGTACAGTATGTGGCAGGCTCTTCTGCTACAGAGAACAACCACAGGGTGCTATTTTATTTTTATTTCTATTTTAGGGCCAGGGAGTGACAATCTATTATAAACTAGCATTTCAGATAAAAAAAAAAAATATATTTCATTTACTGTATTTCCACAAGATGCTTGAACCAGTTCCTGGCTAAATCCTGATAGAACTCT